CACCTTAAATGTGTTCAATTTGATATCGCAAGTTAGAAAGTCTTGAATCGCAGTGTAATCAGACACCTTTACTTTCGTCATGTGGAATAAGGCTAACATAGTGAAGCTCGTGCACGTGACCCAGCACAAGCCGGTTGCTACCACTAACATCAAACTCTGGGCAGATCATTACGTCATGGCGATGCGGAAGACTGCTGATCACGTGGATGCAGGTTTGAAAAAAGTTTGCCGCGCCGTGTAGAATCACGTGATCACCCCATGTACCATCTACCATCATGCTTGTGAGGTAGGCATCCCAAGATGGATATCCATCAACAAAATGAAAAAGTTCTGTCCCATCCGGCTGTGAGAAAGAGAGAAAATACTGTAGTTTATTGAGAAAAAGGTAGAGTGCTTTTGTAGAAGGTATATATTCAGGCACCTGCGCTGTCAGCTCTGTAAGGCAGACCCCGCTGATATCGGAATTAAAGGAGATTTGTCCACCTAAGTAGTGAACCGGAACCAAGACAATAGGTTGTCTCCAATGGACAATGAAATAAACTATGATAGCATTCTCACCAAATAAGAACATGATCCCCGCAAGTTACATTATCAGTTTAAGAATAACTGGTTATGCTAGAAACTACATAAAAATAGCTCGTATAACTCTTGACGTTATCTTGATGAGATTCTACCGCATTTTATTTATGAGATAAAGACGTCATCGACATTTATTTGCTCCACTTCATACTAATGAGATTTCACTTCAAAAACCTGTCTAACCTGTGCATTCTATACTACTCTCCTTATAAAAAGTCAAGAAAAACAATTTTAATTGTTTTTCTTAAAAAGAACGGCAGGGACCAACACTTCTCGGAAAGTACTTAAGGAGGTTTAAGGGAGGTGTCTGCGTATAAGAGAGAGGGGAAGAAGTGTTTACTATGAAATGATAAGAGTTTGGAAATTTCGACTTGCAAACCAGTACGTTGGGTCAGAAAGAAATCTACATATATAACCAGTATTGAGGACCTCTAGTTTATCAGTTCATTTTACAACTATCAACTCTTACCCTCTTTAAGTAAAGTATTCACTTCACTTCTTTTCACTATGTAGACATATGCCGTTCGACAGAGCGGCTTTCGGCGAACATTTCATAATTAGCAACATAACGTACTTATGAAAAATTAGGGGTGCGTTCGATTGGGAAATCCGGATTTAGATTTTGAAAATCTAAATCCGGATTTCCCAATCGAACGCGAAATCCGAAAACGGATTTCACCTCCAAGAAATCCTTCCTCACGGTGGATTTCAATTAAGGAATCCAAATCCGGATTTTTTGGATTTCCCTTTTTGTCGTTCGATTGGGAAATCCGAAAAAGGATTTGGTAAACTGTTCTCGTGAACAGCGGACTATCTTGTGCTAATTATGCGTACGCACAATTAGCACAAGGTAGTCCGATAGTCCAAGATAGTCTGTCCACAGTTTTAACGTTTCTAGTTATCACCAAATGTCATTAGACCCTTTAAATGTTGGACTTTTGAAAACATGTGGAGAAAACTTGCTAATCGCTTTTTCATGGTTTTTTTCCTTGTCGACGATCACAAAGGTGACTTCATTCTCCGTATGCAAATTAGCCTTAGATGCGTCGTTTCAACAAATTGACAGGAAACATAGCTGCTTGTATTTCACATTTTTAAGGGAAAATATCTCTTCTTTCCACGGAAAAACACGAACGATATATGACTTAAAATCCCTTAGGTCTGTTTCTTTTACGAGGAAGAAGCAGCAGAAGAGGATATGTTTACGCGAATTAAAATAATTTAATTACTGCTGCCCGTCACGCATTCCCCGAGAGTGGCCGTGTATCGATCAGTTCTTTTATCTGATTATATCTTTGTTGAAGTGATAGTTATTGATGATCATTAAAGTTAAACACTGTTAATTCCGATTCTTTACTGGGTGGGAAATACCGTGCTGTTGTATTTATTCATTCCACGACCGTTTTAACTGAGTCAGTATCCCCGGGCGCCACTAGGATAGGGTTTTGACAACTCGTGGTAATACACGACAATTGGCTACAAAGTAGTCATTTGGACACGGCCACTCTTATTCACGACCACTAGCACAATATTTTCAATTACAGAATTAACAATTAATATTTTGAAAATAGCTCACAAACAATTTCAGAAATACCGTGCGACACCACAGGACCAAACCTGCAAAGTCCTTTAAGCAACATACACATTTCCTAGATCCCTAGCTAACTATAGGTCTCCTTTTCTTTCCCTAGATTTGAATGGTATTTCAAAGTGACACAAGATTTTTCTAGCATTACCACGTTGAACTGACTAAGTTGTTCTTCCTTTGACATACACATAGGTTGAAAGCTTCTGATTAACGGTGTTGTGGTCTCAATTCTTCAGCGATTTCTGCAACAAGCTTTTGCCTTTCGAACTCCTCGCCTTCTTGCAACAGATCTCTATGGTCAAGTTCAATTTATATTCAAGTTCATCACATTGGTTATTTTCGTCCATTGCCTTATTAGGACTATGTTTACGTGTTGACTCAAACAGGCCTAGAGTCCAACATGGGCTGGCAATAGGTGAGCACGGAATTGGAACGGGGGTGGGGGAACTCCCTATGATGGCCTATATGGGGAGGTTCCGCCCGAAAGGAGTATCTTTTTCAGGCTTCTGGTATATGAAAGGGTGGGCATTTCACCAGATAAAATATATAAAAGGGCGAGTGCGCTTATTGCAGCCCTAGCAGTATCGTTGGCGGTTCTTAAAGAAAAAAGAACTAAGTTTAAGAATTTAAGGAAAAAGTAGAAGGACTTAATTTTCCAGAAATTAATATACACGGGAGAAATTTCACCCCCTTAAGTACAGATGCTTGTAAAAGTAGAGGTGGAACAGTGGGGAGAGGGGGTGGATGGTAAAGTAGGGTAAAAATGGAGAGATGAGATGAAGCACATTGTTCAAGAGGGTATAAATACAAAAAAAAAAAAAAAACAGCAATCTGGAGGCATTTTTGAAGACTTAATGAAAACGTTATTAAAATAAGAAAAACAGAGAAATCTTGTCCAATAAACCTCTCCGGCAAATGTGTGGACATGGTTGCTGACTTTTCAATCGTACTCTTCTCGTCCCTTCGGCGTCAAGTTTTTTTTTTCAAGTTTCTTGCGACAGGGGAGCAAATCGGCTATATAAAGTTGAACTGAACATTATGGTACTTTTAAGTCTCAGTAATTTTTACAAAACCAGAGACATGTTTTAAACACTGTTTAAGTTCAAAAAATTATTTTTATTGCAAGAATGAAATACATGTCTCTTAACACCGGTACTATGTGCATTACATTGGCTTCCTGTCAAATTTCGTATTGATTTTAAAATACTTCTTTTTACTTTTAAAGCTATCTACGGTCATGCACCTGGTTACTTGATCGATTTGATTGCTATTAAAGAACAGCCGCGCTATAATCTCCGTTCAGCTAGCGGTCTTATCTTAAAGTATCCTAGTTTAAAACTGAAAAAAGACTTTAGGGGATCGTGCTTTTTCATCTGCTGCCCCTAATTTATGGAACAATCTGCCCCTTCACATCCGTCTTGAGGACAATTTTGAACGTTTTAAATCTTTACTAAAAACGCATCTTTTTAAACTAGCTTTTGATATGTAAATTTTTTACCTACTATGTAATATATTTAGTGTTTTTTTATCTTTATTTAATTTTTAGCGTTGTTTATTCTTAGCCTTAATTATTTTGCTCATTTTAGTTTTTATTTTCTTTTACCATTTACGTGTTGTCACGCGCTTTTGATCATATTTGCATGGAAAAGGAGCGTTATAAATTTTAATTATTATATTATTACTTTTCATACACGTCAACGACACCTCGATCACAATCACTCCTAGCCTCGTCCCCAGGACATTCTTCTTAGAAAATGGCAGGGGCGGGAAAGCCCTGGGGATGAGGTTGAATCCTGACTCAGTGTAGAAAGTTCTTTCTTTTTTTCCCATTTATAATGCTCTTCAAACAATCATCAGAAAACTATCTTTTACAGCACACGGATTAACCGGTATCAAGAGCCATAATAGGACAGAGAGGGACACTCCCAGTCACGCCTTTGGGATATCTTAATCCCAAAAAAGTTATTTTTAGAACTATGCGGACCATGCGGAAACAGTTTCCGGTAAACTGGTTGACTTCCGGAAGATTCAGTGCGCCAAAGCGAGGCGGGGTCAATAAATAAAAAAAAAATGGCTGCTAAAGTGGAGGGACAATGTGGAGGGTGTGTACTTGATAAATTGTCCTTCTTCAACGAAGAACCTACCATAGAAAATAGTTAAAACTTCTACACAAACGGATCGTTTACAAGAAACGGTAGAAATAAAGTTAAAGCGACCGCGTGGACCATCGTTTTTGTTGGAACAGCTGGAAAGAGGACAAGTAGCGTTGCGTTTTACACAAAATGCGCGGGTCTTACAAAGACGACCGTACAAGCGACCGTGTGGACGTATTTTCTGTTGAAAGAGGAAGGAAAAAAACGTATAAAGGTTTCCCGTATTTTTCTCAAGGACATGAGCAGGAATCATGTGGAAAACACCTTTCCCTGTTTTGACTGATATTTTGTACCGTACTTCACATTGTACAATTAACAATTATTCTTGAACACGAGGTGAATAGAAGCGGAATATTCGCGGCGAGTTTAATATTCCTAAAGCCACTATTCAGCAAGATTAAAAATCAGTAAGGAGACCATTTAAGTTCAATGTGATCGACGGATTTGACGGATCAATTCATGTGTGAAAATCGGTATGTGCAACAGTTTGATCTTTACAGAATTTTCAAACATTGCAAATCAAATCGCAGTTAAAAATCCTTTCGCAAACAATGGCCTAATAATGGGTTATATGGAATAGCCAGAACGTTAAATTCTGCTTCCCAGCCTGTGAAGAAAAGAAGAGCTTTGTTTTCATCTATCGACTCGCCAAGTTAGGGAAAAAGGGTTCTTGTGCAGCAAATTTGTGTTGTTCTTTAATAAGTGCAGACAATGGTGGCCCGGTTGCTCGAGGTAAGGCGCCGTTTCTCTGTAGTTTTCTTGACATTGAAATCTCGAAATTGCGTAAAGATTTGCTTTTAATTATTTTTTGTCACAAGTTGAATTTGATTTCTGGGGAAAATTCGCTTTTGAAGGAAATGTTGAGTTTACACAGAAACCACCTCTTCTATTCAATTTGTAATTGTCAACATTCGGTCGAGCGGAAGTTCGTTTCAAGTTTATTTGAGCTTGCAAAGATATTTTTTTTAATTTCTATTTTTTTGACAGCCGTGTATCTTGCCCTAATCAATTCTTACCTTTAAAATACTATACATACCGGCAAGAGCCATAATAGGACAGAGAGGGACACTCAGAGCGTTGGCCGGGATATCTTAATCCCAAAAAAGTTATTTTTAGAACTATGCGGACCATGCGAAAACAGTTTCCGGTAAACTGATTGACTTCCCGAAGACTCGCTTTCACGATTTCAGCGCGCCAAAGCGAGGCGGGGTCAACAAATAAAAAAATGGCGGCACAAGTGGAGGGACGATGTGGAGTTGATAAATTGGCCTTCTTCAACAAAAGACCTACCATAGAAACTGCTATAAACTTCTACACAAAAGGGTCCTTTCCAAGCAACGGTAGAAATCGGTTAAAGCGACCGCGTGACCATCGTTTTTGTTTGAACAGCTGGAAAGAGGACAAGTAGCATTGCAGCCCGGATAAGCCTTGAAGACAAAATGCGCGGGCCCTACAAAGACGACCGTACAAGCAACCACGTGGACGTATTTTCTATTGAAAGAGGAAGGAGAAGAACGTATAAAGGTTTCCAGTAGTTTTGTCACGGACATGACCGGGAATCTTGTGGAACACACCTTTTCCTGCTTGACTGATATTTTGTTTCGCACTTCTCTTATGGACAATTAGCAATTCTTTATTGAACACGAGGTTAATAGAAGCGGAGGTTAATGTTCCTAAATCAGTGGCAATCGGTAAACAATAGGTTTGATCTTTACATAATTTTCAAACATTGCAAATCAAATCGGAAACAATAGCCTAATGGGTTATATGGAATCTTCAGAAGTTTAAATTGTACTTTCAATCCTTAGAAGAAAAGTAGAGCTTTGTTTTCATCTGTCGACTCGCCAACTTAAAGGAAAAAGGTTTCTTGTGCAGCTAATTTGTGCTGTTCTTTGTAAGTGCAGACAATGGTGGCCCGGTTGCTTGAGGTAAGGAGCCGTTTCTCTGTGGTTTTCTCTGTCCTGTTGAATTGAAATGTCGAGCTGTCGTTAAGACTTGCTTTCATTTTTTTTCTCATAAGTCAGTTGAATTTGATTTCAGGAGAAAATTTGTCTTTAAAGGAAATGTTGAGTTCACACACCCCTTCTACTCGATTAAACTGTAATTGTCAACATTCCATCGAGCAAAAAAGATTGAAACTTTGAAGTCTTTTCATACCTTCAAAAGAGTGGACCCTAGGATTTTGCCGAATTCTGAAAGGTTCTTACTCTAAAAAATTGGCAAAACAACGAACTCACGAATTATTTACTCGCGAGGCTAAAACACTACAAAGATCACTGAGTGTGTATCCTGAAACCGATTTTTGCTTGTAAAAACTTTATTTGTGTAAGGTTATTTGGGTTTTTCATGTTGCAAACCGTGTTGAAATAAATATGACAGTATGATAATCTCATCTGGAGTTTATTTACTTTATGTGGTTTTACCTATCCTCATATTTTCCTCATACACCTGTAATAATTAACCTTTACAGATCCTGCACCACAATGTATAGGTACGATTTCCATACAACCCAAACATTTGTTGTGTGTGTTAAATAATATAAGCTTGCTGCATGCATAATAAATGTAGGGGTTTGGATGCACAGGACCTTTTGATGTTGTGTTTGCCACTTATTGATCCAGCAAGTTTTGCCTAGTTTAGTAAGCACTCATGGTGTTAGGTGTCGGCTGCTGAATGTAGTCTTTTCTTGTTTTCTCTATAGAAAGCACTAAAAAGTGTCAAGAATATAAACTACTGCAATCAGTTCAAGCTGTGTATAGCTTCTTGTTTATAATTATGTCTTATTTCTTGTACCCCCCCTCCTCAGTGAAAGCCTATCTGTATTCAGCCGTCGAATAGCTCAAAATGTGGCAAAACGTTTCTTTCCAAAATGTAAGAAAAACAAATCTGTACTTAGTGGATACCTCTAATAAACAGAAAGCAGCAAAGTTTGTGTGGATGCCCGCCCAATTCCAATTACACAGGTTTTTTTTTTATTTATAACAACCTTTAATGCATAAAAATAGATGGTAAAAAGAAGGATGAGTGAGGGTGTAAAGAGAGAAGAACTGAGTCCTTATGCCAGGCTGGCTCCCTCCCTGAGGATATAATATAAAATACAACATGTAAAGGTTTCATAAAACTGGTACATCATTTATGTTGTGTGGTTGTGTGTCTTTTAGACCCTCTCTTCAGCTCGAAAATCTGTAAGCAAGATTATTTGTGAGGGCGCAAATTCGAATACGCTGCTCAAATACTCTTGCTTACAGATTTTCAAGCAAAAGAGAGACTGCTCGCAGTCTATATGTCTTTCAGTGTCTGCAAACTTTTCTGTTGTTTTCTGACAGGTTGAATTGAAGGAACAATACTACTAGCAATCATGAATTCTCTTTTAAGATGTCTGCGTGACCTTGCCACGGAATTGATAGTGGGGAAAATAATGTACAAGTCTGACAAACAGTGCAAGTTCTATATCTTGGGGCACGGGAGCACTTATTTATTTATTATTTTTTATACTTTTGTTAAACTATGTGGCTGCCAACGCATTTGGGATTTGAAATTTGAGGAATACCGGGAAGAGTGTGACCAACTGAGTGACAAACATGTTATCATACACACTACATTAATATTAATTTGTCTCCTTCTAGATGCTTTCCTTGACATTGCCTCTTTCAAGCCATGGCACGAATAGATACACTGATTCAGTCACACACTGTTTTATTGCTCCAGAATGTCTCTTTCAATGCAACCCATGCAGGTGCATAAATTGATGAACTCACCAATGAAAGAAACTTGACCTAATTAAGAGGTCAAGGTGTGACCAAAGGAAGTTCTTATTGATTTTTATTTTAATGTGATACTGTTATTTTTAACTTAAAGCCTCCCTCAATGAAGGTCATATGCTCAAATACAGATCAGCTTAACTGATAATAACAGCCTCAATTTCCTGTGATGTCTTAGTGGTTGCATGAGGCCTGATCAATCATAATATGCAGATCAACATGTGAGGTTATTAGATTATTTAAAGGGAAAGATTGGAGTGTCATGGTGCAGGATGCCTTAAAAGCAAAAGATTACACAAACCTGCTCTGCCTGCAGACTCGGCTTTAAGAGCATTAGAATGCAACATTAATATCAGTAAAGTCAACGTTTAAACATGTTGAAATGCAAAAAGGTGCTCACTTTACTATTGTCTGTACTATACTTCTGATTGGTTTAGGCAGCAAAATCAAGAAAACTTTGCACCGCAGCATGTATATGAATCCTTATGACAAATTCTCATGAGTCTGAATAAAACAGGCATGCCAGGAACAAAAAATTAATGTAAAGTTTTCTTCAGTTGGCTATTGTTTGCAGCTCTTATGATTGGTTGAAACCTTTTAACACAAAGAAAATACCCTTTAAAATGGGTATGGATACATTTATTTTTGAAAACATTTTTTTGTTTTTCTGAAAATATGGTTAGAAACTTTTCAAACATACTGAGCTATTTATCTGCTTAACATAGGATGCAACTTTTAATATGGGGTCTGCTTAAATATACAGGTTTTGCCGTTCACTATAGAAAATGAGTAATTAGGTTTGTATTTTTTTCTGTGTGGGAGGGGAGTATAAAAAATAAGACACAACTCAGTAAGAAGCTATACACCGCTTGAACTTATTGCAATAGTTTTTATTCTTAATACCTTTGAGCACCTTCTATAACGAAAAAAAGAAAAGACTACATTCAGCAGCCGACAGCTAAAACCATGAGTGCTTAATTACTAAAATAGGGAAAACTTGCTGGGTCAATAAGTGGCAAACACAACATCAAAAGGTCCTATGCATCCTTGAATGCCTGAAGCTTGAATTATGCTGTGGTACGATTTGCATTCAAACCCCTACATTTATTATACATGCAGCAAGCTTATAGCGGAGCACCATGGGTAAGAAAATTTGGTAAACTATCCATCTCAGAAAATTTGGTTATGACGTAGCGTACATCCGTCCGTACGGACTTTCCGGGTAGTGGAAAGTAGTCCGCATGGACTCTTGGGGTAGGGGAAAGTAGAGATTTTTTGGCGGGAAATCGCATGGCGCAACGCGTTAACGTCGCGCAATTATATCACGCAACTGGTTTTGAAAAAAAGAAAGCAAGTAGAAAGAGTCAGAGCGAGAAGAAGGAGAGAAAATTATAGTGAAAAACGCCGGCAAGCAGAACGAGACAGAGCTAGAATGAACAGACAAAGGCAACGCGAAAGAGAAATACAAAGGCAAAGAGAACGGCAGCAAAATAATGACATGATGACAGAAAGTGTTGTGTTAATGTCACTATGGCCCCGCGCTATTAACATTTTGATTTCAAACTGATCTCGGACTCGAAAATTCAGCCAGTAATTTAAAAATACAAGCAGGGAAGACAGAGGCTTTTCACTTTTCTCACCATAGTCACGCGTTGATCACGCTCTACGACCGTCCAATTTTTATGCTCTGATTGGTCAAAATTTGACAGGTGAGTTCATGCAGAAACTGATTTATACAGCATCTTCAACCTTGTTTACTTTCAGTTTGACAGCTGAAGCTGACAGAGTATTTTGTCAACTTGTAATGTTTTTTACTGTCTTTTTCCACTGGATGCTTAAAATGAAATACAGCTGGTATCAACAGTCTTCTTTGATTCATGGCTGGTTTGTTTATTGAATTTTTGGTCGGGAAATGCGCCGGTTGCCAAAGTTGGAAATCCGATTTCGGATGCATCGCTTTCGTTTTTACCTTGCTGGATGCGGGTTGAAAAGTCCCTCAAGCGATTCTGGCCTTACTTTATAGCTTTCAAGAGCTGCATCTCGAATGGTAAGCCTAAGTAATTATTGTATACAGTGTATGTTTGTTTTTTTATATCTAATTTCATGAAGTCGAGCGCAGCTAATGAGGCTAATTTATGCACGTTTGTATAAAGACCTGAGACAATGATCTGATCTACTATATATAAGCTTACAGAACTTTAAAAAGCCTTTAGTCGATATTTTCTCTCCGCATATAGAACGAAAAAACGTTCCGAAGAGTATTTAGTTGTAATTTTGGCTGTAGAAAGAAAGCTTTGAGCGATTTTCTTGCCTCGAGTTCATCTTTGAAAACAGTAAACACCAGGAAGCCGGCTAAAAGCTTTAAGGATTTTTAGAGACGCTTTAATACTTGTCTCCGTGAATGAAAATTGTTGACTCTGTAAATGTTTCACCGAATTACATTTCTTTTATTGATTGTTAGTAGTCTCGTACAATTTTAATCGCTTTGCCGTTTGTTTTCAGTCGTTCATAAACAACGCTTGCAGGAGTACTCAAAATGCTGCTCGTATCAAACGCTTTTTAAGATTACACATCGTTATAAAACCATTTAATAAAAAAAATAAACACAATAAATTCTTTATTATGTTGAAGCGCGTAACTCTTTTAATGTTCACTGAAAATTTGGCGCTTGTCAAAAGTGAGAACCGGCTGGCCGTATAGGTGATTTTGGAAATTTTTGGAACGGTTTTGCTAAAAGCCCACGCGTGCTTCGTACGGTTCTGAAGATTGAATGAGTCCAATTTGTCTTGAAAAATTGTGAAATACTGCATTTTGTGTGAGGTCTATATGATAAAAACAACGCCTCATATTACTGTTTCAGATGTGATGTATAAAAAGTATGAAATGTTGGTTTACACGCTCCCAGAGTTGTTGGCAAGATTTTGTTAAGTAAACTTGTCGAACGCAAAAAATTCGGCCTGATTTGTTTTCCAAAAATTCGTTTTCCAGGCCTAATCTACAGTGATCAAGAGCCATTATGGGTCTAAAATGTGATCGAAGATAATTGCTATTTTTTGGGTGTATATATACGGCTATCAATTCGATGTAAGATTTTTTTTTTCACTCTAAAATCACTTAGCCTTAGCTTTCCCTTAAAGTTAACTGATTTGTGGATTACAAGTTTATTGTTTGCTTTAAATTATAAATCTATTAATGGGAGCTTCGCTTTTAGCCCTGGCTAAATCTATATATTACTTATAAAAAAATTAGAACATGAGTCAGACGATCGAGGCGACAGAAACAGATTTCCTAAAATCTGTTTTCATTTACGCCTCCGAGTCAAAAACGTGATTAAAGGAAATGAATTTGCTTTATTTTAAACCTTTATGGCGCTTATGTAACGTTTTTCAAATTAAAAAAAGTAGAAGAAATTTCCTGGATTTGAATTCTGAGGGCAGCATCTGGATCCAATAACAACATTTCGTCGCCATGCTTTCGAGGTCCTCCACAAAACGTCGCATTAGGAAGTTTCAAGTCGTGCAGCGGAAGACGAAGCAAAATACAAATAAGCGTGATGCTCGTGCAGAGCCATGGATAATAATCCATGTGCAGAGCTGATGTTTTGCTCATAAAGGGTGGATTCATTTGCATCATACCTGTAAAGCCGTAGCATTTGGCTGCAAGAATTTAAGGCCCCGTCCACACGTATCAGGGCATTTTTAGCCTTCCGTCCACAAGAAAACGGCCTTTTCGGGCACCAAAAAAACAGGTCCCCAGAAAGCGGTCCCCAGAGTGGACTTTTGAAAACGCCGAATTCTCGTTTACGTATGGAAGGGCACCAAAAAAACAGGTCCCCAGAAAGCGGTCCCCAGAGTGGACTTTTGAAAACGCCGAATTCTCGTTTGCGTATGGAAGGAAGAAAACAGAGGTTTTCTAATACAATGACGTTATGCATTATATGCTAGTATCACTGAGTTTGCTCTGTAAGGGATGTCATCGAATGTCAATCATTTCAGCGTATTTATGTGAACAGGCGCAAAAAATTCAAATACGCTACGTGTGGACGCGTATTTCGGATACGTCAGAACAAGACCTTATTGCTTTTAACCTTAAAAACAATAAAAAAATTTCAGCGGGAAAATGCGACGGCTTTCGGATATATTGCAAATAAATCCACCGTAGAAAAACAATAACCAAAGGTACTTACCAGCCTGGGGTTTTCCCGAAGATGTTGAACAATAGTTCGGCGTAACTCCTCATGGGACATTTGAATTCCTTTGATGCGTTCAAGCTGCTCCGAAAGTGCAAAAAACATGCAGTTTCCCTCTCCTTGATTGTCAGATATCGCAAAACCTTTCTCCAACGCAGTCCTCTTTAAAGCCTGCGACAGCTCAGTTTTGCTGGACTCTGTGCGTGCTTCCAGGAGGATTTGTTGAAGTGCAAGGAAAATTGCTTCGCCTGTAAACGGCAGAGGGAAACGTCAGTTTAATAGGACATGATGAACTGGTCTTTAGGTAAAAACAGCCGAAAATATAAATTTGTCCTGGTTTCAAGAGAACAAAATAACCCCACTCTACTACAAAAATAAATTTTGGCTCTGGTTTATTTGAGAAATCAAAGAACCACATCACCAGTTATCGATCCTTTTGCCGCATCGTTTTCAAAGTCATTCTGTGGAACGGTATCTGCTTGGGTCTTTTCAACACCTGTAAAATTTAAGAAGAAAAAAAAACCTTGAATAAAAAATAAACGATTCCAATCTGAGAAGCCCTCCATTTATTTTGTGTGATATATCATAAGCCAAAGTTTTAGCATGGCGGTTCTCTGTCATTTTTCTTCTTTAAATCTTGATTGTTAAACAAATTCTCCTTATCAGTAACACAAGATATGTATGGATAACAGTGTGGAGAATATGAATGCTGTTATTGAGGTTTAAAAGGTTAATGTTGGCAATCTTTCTGCAGCTATTTACATGCACCGCCAAACATAATACCATTAAATTTGCTTACGCACTTGCTCTTGCCGAAGCAAATAAAATACAGGGATGAATCATAAAAGCAAAACAAAGGCTAATCCTGATATGAGACACGCTCTTGACATTTTCACCGTGTTTGAAATAATAATTAGCAATTATTGAATTCGGCTTTCGTAGGATATGAAGAATTCTGCAGATCGAGGAGGGTGTTATCCACCCTCCGGTAATAATTCCAAGTTTAAAAGAAAGCTGAAACTTCCTTCCCTCGGTCGATGTTAATTTTATATCGATAGTGCATCTTTATCGAGAAATTGAGGAGATATTAGTCTGTTCTGGCCTGCAAATATACTCCAAACAGCGGATGTTGTCCGTCGAGTTGTCTTCTTTCTCTTCTTGCTATGATTTTGACAATATTTCGCCGTGAAACAAGTAAAATGTTTCGCCGACTGTGTGTGCTATTTTGTTGTCACCACCAAAACAACTCAACCTCGTCCCCAGGTTTTCTCGGTTAACGGTTCAGTAATCTTCAATTTTGGCTGCACTTTTGACGTCATTTGTTCAAAATGACAAATTTGGTCAACAGTAGCTGTTTATGATGAATTATGCATGTGCTTTTAGCCAATAAAAAACGGAGAAATATTTTGAATGAATAATAATTACTATTATCATTACTCTCCTTTAGGCAAAGTTAACTTCTTACCATAGACCATCTTCCACATTCTGGCGACAAGGGCCTGGCACTGTCTCTTCCAAGAGAATCTTTCATCATAACTTCTTCGCAGTCTTTGGATTTCCTCAAGCCGCTGTGTCCTCGATTTTTGACGAATGGCTGCAATTGCTTTTGCCCATTCCTTGGGGTCATCAGACTCGATCACGAATGACTTACCCTTTGGAAGACCACTCAGTGCTTTTCCAAATCCAGAGTTTCCACTTACTAGAATGGGAAGCCCAGCTGACATGGCCTCCAATGCTGTCAAACCAAACCCCTCAGTTCTTGATGGCATGATGGCCAGATCGGCTTCACAAAACAATTCTCTCAATCTCTGTTTGTCTTTCACAAATGATCTCACAATCAGCTGGTTCTTTGAAATGCCACTCTGGAGTAAGATTTCTGCGACTTCATCCTGCCTTCCATCGGATGCACCAACGAAAACAAGACTATAGGAACTGTCCTGCAATTCCACTATGGATTGAGCAGCAATGTCGTAACCTTTAAGACTAAAGTCTTCAAAATCACCACGACCGAAGGTTAACACTTTGAAACTCACATTCTCTTGTTCAGCATGCTCAACATCTGAAAACTCTGTAAAGGAACCTGGTATTAATTGAAAGATTTCTCGACGAGATGAGCGCAACTGGGACGAGATCGCGTCTTTCAACTTGGGTCCAACGGCTACAACGAGATCTGCAATTTGACAAAGGTCAACTTCAGCTCTGTTTTTCTCCTCTCCCTTGGAAATGGCGCTTAGATAGTTCTTATGCATTGCCAGTTCTTCAGGCTCAGTATGCACAACCTGAAACCACTTGCAGCAATGATACCTCCTTATAATTTGGGCTTGTCTACCAAGTTTTGCTCCATGGCCGATCACGACCTGAATGTCAAGGTCTTCTGGTGGATAGCTCAACCAGTCAAGAGGGTCACTAAAGCCAGGTAGATGCCCTGCTTCCCTGATGGAAATTTTGTGACTTTTGGCCGCTCTCTTGTCTTTCTCTCCACACTCAAATTCAGGTACAAGAATGGTCACTTCTACGTGTGGGTCTTTTGCCAAATGTATGGCAAGTGGACAAAAGACATTTCGAGTCTCGCGTCACGCAATCGCACGCGTGAGTTTTTAGTGATCAGATTTCATTTTTTTGATTGACAGTTACTCTGATTTTGTAATTCACACGCGGTCGGGTTTTTGTAGTTGTCATGAGTTGTTATCAGAACATGTAAGTTTTAGGAGCCGTAAAATTAAAACCGTGAGTTTATTTAACCGACGAGATATCGTTTGTTGTCTTCGCAACATTTTTTGGCGACCACGAAGGGACAAACCGAGAGACCGTTTTGAAGAGTTACCGGGAGATTCATTCACCGTACGCAAGCACTGTGGTAAGCTTGAATTTTTGATTTGTGATTTCGCCGCTCAAGATGAATGCCGATGCAGAAGAAACTGGCGGTGAAAATGGTCCGGGAACCGAACAGACCGAAAACAAGGACGATGAAGAGAAACTGGAAAGAGAAAAAGTGTTATTGGATCTGAAAAAACAAAAGAGACTACGAAAAACCGAGATGACAAAAACTCGCCATCACATGGAGAAGCTTTGCATCACGCCGAAGGATTCGCCGAAGGACGTAGGCGCTATTGAGAAAGATATTGAGCAACTTTGGTCGCTTCTGGAAAGCACACTGGAAATACTGGATGAACTGTGTGTTGTTTATTTGAAAAATGGAGAGGAAGCAAATAAACAGGCGTCTATGGAAGAAGGAAAAACGCTGGAATCGGAAATTCAAACCGCAATTGAAAAGGCACACGAGGCCGTGAAATCACACGCTCAAATTTCTGTCGCGACTGCTTCGCACAGTGAATTTGTCGCTCATTCAAGTCCGCCGATCGTTTTGCAGGGTTCGCTCAACCCAGTTTTGCCTCCAACGCCTTCCCAAAATTCGCACAGCAGTCAAGGAGAAATAAACGTTCCTGAAAGCCCGCAAATCAGTCATTCCGCGAATCATCGCCTGAAGCCATTGAAAGTACCGACGTATGGTGGAGACAAGACGAAATTTGAGGAGTTTTGGGGCTTGTTTGAAAGTCTGGTGGACCAGTCCAAAGAATCAGTCAACCTAAAAATGGCGAGATTGAGGCAGAGCTTGTCCGGCAGCGCGCTGGAAGCGATTCGAGGGCTTGGGGTGTCAGAACCAGAATATGAAGAGGCAAAGGAAATCTTGATAGCCAAGTTCGGCGGTCAGCGGCGGCAACTGCAGGCCTACATGGACCAGCTGGAAAAAATGCCCAAAATGGGAAACAACGACATTCAAGGATTTGAAAAGTTTGCAGATTTAATACGTATTACTGTGGTTAAGCTTAGGGCCGAGGGGCGCGATGGAGAGCTTGGAGAAGGAACACTTCATAGCCTGTTAGTGAAGAAGCTCGCTGAAGTTCAAGTACAAGGGTACAGCCGTTGGCTACAGAAACAGAGCCGGGAGCGATCTGTTGTAAGTTTGAGGGATTGGCTTAAGGAAGAAGTACACATCCGCGTTGAAGCTAAGGAGATGGCGCATGGCTTATCGGTTACAGAGAAATCTGATGGATGGCAACATTCAAATCGAAATCAAACAATCGAAACAGGCCCAGAAATTTTCGTCAGATCAGATTTCGCCAGGAGACCACCAGGCTCAGGCCAGCCTACCCGAAAACCGCCGTGTCCGTGCTGTGGTTCCCCGAATCATGGAGTATGGGCCTGCTTGGTTTTCCAACAGAAAAGTTACGATGACAAATGGACACTGGCTAAAGAAAAACGATTGTGTTTCCGGTGTTTAGGTGATGATCACCAGGGAAAGTTCTGTACGAAGTCACAAACCTGCCAAATCAACGGTTGCCGGGGAAATCACCACCGTCTCTTGCATGAGAATCCGCCTGCCACGAACCCACCCATGGGGACTGCTCAACCAGTGATCAGCTCTAACAGCTACCCGTCATTTACTCCATGGGAGGGGCAGTCGGCCCCGTTTTATCACCCGAGGGTGAGGACAGTCGTGCCTCGCGAGCGATGACTACTCACAACCCGAGAAGCCCAAAAAAAGCCTACTCACTGCGTACCGTCCCCGTGTGGGTGAAGGCACAAGGAAAAAAGCTTAAAGTGAATGCAATCCTAGATGATGCCTCAAACGAGACATTCTTGAACGAAGAAGTGGCCGGAGCCCTTGGACTAAAGGAGTCTTATCAAACCGTGAAAGTTCATGTATTGAACAATTCTGTAGAGACGTTTCAGACTATGCCGTTAAAAGTAGAGATCGAAAGTGTTAATGGTCAGTTTACAAAGGAAATTGAAGTTAAGACCTGTCCCCGCAATGTCACTGGAAATTACCAAGTGGAGAATTGGAATGCGAATAAAGGCAAGTGGCCTCACCTTGCACAGTGCGACTTCGCGTCACCAGCAAAAGACGGCTTGGTAGATTTGTTGATCGGTGTTGATAATGCTGACTTGCATTACTCGTTTGCTGATGTACGTGGAAAGGTGGGTGAACCGGTGGCGCGCTTGGGTCCGCTTGGGTGGACTTGTATCGGACCTCCAGATGGTAGAGCGGAGACTGGAACAAGAACGCATACAATTCGAACACTGTTTACAAGGGATGTAGGGCCGGTTAGTGTAGCAGGTGGTTGTTGTGATTTAGATGGAACGCTTAGGAGGTTTTGGGAGATCGAGAGTTATGGAACTGAGCTAAATGACCGAGTCGTGTGTACTGCAGAAGAGAGATTGGCCTTAGAAAGGGTTAGCAGCTCAGTCTGCTACAACGGTGAGAGATACAGTGTTGCTGTGCCGTGGAAAGGACAGAGGCCTCAACTTCCCGATAATCGTCAGATGGCAGAATCCCGTCTTCTCAGCACAGAGAAAAACCTAAAAAAGAGAGAATTTGTTGAGAGAGAGTATAAGAAGACCATCGAGATTTATGTGGAGAAGGGGTACCTGCGTAAAGTCCCAGAAAATGAAGCACCCCCCCCTGAAGATTGGTACCTACCACACTTTCCGATTGTTAGGATGAGCAAGTCTACAACCAAAGTAAGGATAGTCTTTGACTGTTCCGCCAAATACAAAGGAATCGCTCTTAATGATGTCATTCATGCTGGGCCGAAACTTCAGAGAGAACTCTTTGATGTTCTGATCCGCTTCCGCCGTAACCCGGTTGCCCTTGTCTGTGACATTCAAGAGATGTACCTCCAAATAGAAATTGAGTCTGAAGACCGACCGTTGTTTCGAATCCTGTGGCGAGACGGAGAAACAGGCCGCAACCCAGATGTGTATGAATTCTCTAGAGTTGTTTTCGGGAAGAACTCAGCTCCCTTCGAAGCCCAATTCATCGCCCAGGAGAATGCCAGGCGGCACCAAACCGAGTTCCCATTAGCTGCAGAAACTGTCCTTCAGTCCACCTACATGGATGATTCGTTAGACAGTGTTGAGGAGGACGAGAAAGGAGTCGACCTGTATCACCAGCTTAATGCATTGTGGGCAAAAGCAGGCATGCACGCCCGAAAATGGGTGTCGAATTCAGCAACGGTGATGGCAGCCATACCCGAGGAGGACCGAGCCACAGAAGTGGACATAAAAGACAGTAAGGATACAGTAACGACAACGCTTGGCTTACAGTGGAACAGCACCGATGATTTATTGGCCGTGCCTGCAACACCCGTGACCGAGGGCTACCCAATTACTAAGAGGAGTGTTTTGAAGAAAATTGCAACTGTTTTTGACCCGCTTGGCCTGATAAGCCCTTTCGTCGTACAAGCGAAGATTATGCTCCAAGAACTGTGGAACCGTGGCTATGACTGGGATGAGGAGGTTCAGGACGAAGTGGCTAATCGTCTTCAGGTCTGGTTCTCACAGCTGTCATGCCTAGAAAAGGTCAAGATTCCACGGTGTCTGCAAAACCAGCAACCAGTCAAGTCGAAGGAGGTGGTGACCTTTGTTGATGCCTCAACACAGGCCTATGGAGCTGCCTCCTACTTACGCTGCGAGTATGAAGATGGTACCGTGTCCGCACAGCTGATAGCTTCTAAGAGTAAGGTTGCCCCGCTTACCCCCATGACCGTGCCAAGGCTGGAATTAATGGGAGCCATAGTGGTTTTAAGGTTAACCCAGTCCGTGTCCAGAGTCCTGGAACTACCCGTGAAAGCAGCGTCGTTATTTTCCGACAGTACAGACGTGCTATGGTGGATTCGTGGAAGAGGCCGAGACTTTCGACCCTTTGTGGCAAACCGTATTGGAGAGATACAGATTAGTACTGAACCGGTACAGTGGCAACATGTCTCCACCGACAAAAATCCTGCAGACCTGTGTTCCCGAGGAACGAGCCCAGCTGAGCTTGCTAAATCCGAACTATGGTGGAATGGCCCGGAATGGCTGATGAAGGAGAAAAGTGAGTGGCCCAAGATGGAGTTAGCCGAAAGCCCGAAAGTGATGCCCGAAATGAAGTCGACAACAAAACAGCAACAGGGTTCTACCACCCTCGTGACAGTGCAAGAAAACCAAGCTCAGAGGGACAAGCCAAGTCAGGGTGGCAGTGTTCCAGTCTGGAGATTGAACCCGAAACGCTTCTCAAGTTGGAGCCGACTGGTGAACCTACATGCTAGAGTAAGGAGGGCGCTCCACAACATGTCGAAGAGGGGTCCGCGACAGACCAGCAAAGCATTGTCACCGTGTGAAATAAGAGAAGCTGAGGCAGAGGTGGTGCAATCCTGTCAGCGCGAAGCATTCCCTGACGAATACAAAGCTCTAGTGACCGGGAGACCAATACTGACCAAGAGCCGACTAATGAAGTTGAATCCTGTGTTAGATGAAGAAGGCTGTATCCGTTCAAATGGAAGACTCCAGTTCGCAGAGTACCTGCCTTACGATGTGCGATTTCCAATGATACTGCCTCGAGGACATTGTGTCACGAAGCTCATTGTCAAGCATTATCATGAACAGGCTAACCATACAGCAGGAACCAACTTTGTCTTGTCCCAAATCAACCAGAAGTTTTGGATCATTGCAGCCCGGGAAGAGATCCGAGAGTGGGAGCGAGAGTGCAACATGTGCAAACGAATGCAGAGCAAGACCGCTACACAGATCATGGCACCGATTCCAGGGATCCGTCTTCGCTTTACCTTCCGTCCCTTTGACCAAACAGCCGTTGACTATGCTGGCCCCTTTACAACCGTACAAGGACGAGGTGTGCGCCGACAGAAGAGGTGGCTGTGTTTGTTTACTTGTCTGTCAACCCGTGCGGTCCATTTGAGGTGGCTTTTGGTTTGGACACCGACAGTTTTCTGAATGCCTTTACACGCTTTACAAGCAGACGGGGAGCGCCAAAGGAAATGATAAGCGACTGTGGGACCAATTTTGTTGGAGCCGTCAACGAACTAAAAGAACTGATCAGTAAGCTGGACCAGGACAAGATTCAGCAAAGCACAGCCAATCGAGGTGTAACATGGAGATTCAACCCCCCCGGGGCACCACACTTTGGTGGCATTCACGAGGCCATGATAAAGTCGGCCAAGAAAGCTATTTACGGAGTAATCGGAACGAGTGACGTAACTGATGAAGAGTTAATTACCGCAGTGACTGGAGTGGAAGGACTGCTCAATGCACGACCGCTCACCTACCAGTCAGCCAACCCCCAGGACATTGTACCGCTGACTCCAAACCACTTCTTACATGGACAGTTGGGCGGTCAATTCGCACCTGAAACCGTTGATACCACCGAGTTCAGTCCACGAAAACGTTGGCGAAAGGTCCAGGAGATAATTTCCCAAGTCTGGAGGAGGTGGCTACAAGAGTACCTTCCTTTGTTAAGCAGAAGGCCAAAGTGGACCGAAGTGGTCAAGGATCTGAAGGTGGATGATGTTGTTCTCGTCCTGGATTCTAAACTGCCAAGAGGACGATGGCCTCTAGGACGCATCATCGAAACTTATACAGGAAGGGATGGCCACATCAGAGTCGCTAAGATCCAATGTGGCGCAAGCACCATCGTTAGACCAATTCATAAACTGGTGCCCTTGCACGAAAGTTAGAACACTGAACATTTCTCGTTGTTATAGTTTTCTGTTTCAATCTTTTATCGAACAATCACACTGATCCTTACCTCCCAGTGTGGGGAGGGGGAAATGGACAAAAGACATTTCGAGTCTCGCGTCACGCAATCGCACGCGTGAGTTTTTAGTGATCAGATTTCATTTTTTTGATTGACAGTTACTCTGATTTTGTAATTCACACGCGGTCGGGTTTTTGTAGTTGTCATGAGTTGTTATCAGAACATGTAAGTTTTAGGAGCCGTAAAATTAAAACCGTGAGTTTATTTAACCGACGAGATATCGTTTGTTGTCTTCGCAACAGCAAGAGTCCGGTTTATTGTTGACAAGCCACCCTTGGACGAGCCCCACTCATTGGCGAGAAGGGTAACTTTCAGTACCAGACGCTCTGGATGAGTCTGTGCAGTATCAGGTGATGATGATGGAGTACACGCTTCCTGCAAAGCAACCAAAATTGGATACTTTAAAATAGAAATTTTATATCTGAGGGCTTCTACCTTTTTGAATCAAAGTTTGCGAAACATTTTATCAACATAATACAAACGTATTGCCCACCCGCAAAGCAAAACAGCACATTTACAAAGACCTTGAGAAAAAGTTATATACAAACTGCAACAATTATTAACACATGGTAGCCAATTGACCTTATCAACTTACTTGACTTTAAGCACCAATGTTCGCTAAGTTGATAGCAACAAAGTCTTGTCTTACACTCCAGTGGAGCTCGTGGTAGGATAAATAAAGGCATAAGTTAAACCTCATACTATAACCTTATAACAAAGCACATCCATGGACTTTGTTGAAGCCTCTTTAGTTTAAATATATGGCTACAGTCACTGTGGCTAATCTTTATAAAGACACAATTTTAAGTAGTATGTGTAATCGATTTATATGTAATATGCTACCAGCACTGCTGGAGATTGTATTTCACTACTACCTACCTTACTTTCTATTTGTGAGAACCACTGTTCTTGTCCTGTAACCGTGAGTACCTCCTCTGCAGGTTTCTTCTTGCAAATCAGAGGATCGCCTTGTCGTAACTCAAGGAGGTGAAGACAATCTTCATGAGAACATACCATCTTACTATGGCTTGAGCATTTTTCCCACTGACAATACGGACAGGCGACCCGAATTTGATACTGCAATCCACCTTTATAGAGATCACGTGACAAACCTTGCAAAGTTGCCTCCACAAACTCACGAACCTGCACCGCCACCTCACTTGTGCCATCTACTGAGATCTGCTGAGGTTGGTTTCTTTGCTTGATAAAAAACTTAATAAACGGCTTCTTACAAATAAGAACAAAATCATGAGAAGTTTGCTTCCCAATAACAAACCACGCTACATTTAGGAACAGGGTAGGGGGCTGAGTTGGACCAGCTTCAGAACACCAACGGACAGAGCGAGAAACAAGCCGAGTGAACAGACCATGGGGAACAGAACCGCTGACAAAGTAAACAAACAGGGGACAAGGGTCCAGCCTTGTGGGCGCCATGGAACAAAGGGAATCAGGCGAAGCTTTGAGTTGAGATGGAACAAAATACTTTTCACCTGTCTTTAAAGATGAAAATTTTGCAATCAATCCAAATAGTTCCATCAAATCAAGAATGTCTTTCCTGGCAACACCCTTCAGGAGAAAGTTGGAAAACACAACATCAACCAGTTCCATGGAGAGAACACCGCTTTCTTTTACTTCCTTCCAGTGCTTGGCAACCGTAGGAACCTAAGACGGAGATATTTTGGGAGAATTTTGAGCCAGTTAATTAATGCACTTGTAAATTGTTGGTTATTTTATTTAAAATTTTAATTAACAAACAAAGAAAAAGATCTAGAGTTTTCCGTTTTTGTGTGGGGACACTCCTCGCGTGCATCAGTTAGGGCGGAGAAAAGTCAGGTTTCCTTTCTATATACAATATGTTTTTTCACTCTGATTGGTCGTCCGATTCCTTTGAGCCTACATAAAAGGTAAATTGCAGGTAAATTGGTTATAAGCTCCTCTTAATGTTCGCGGGTACCTCGTGACGTCACCTGATGTCCTTCGAAATTGAAACAAGAATCCTCTTGGGATGTTACAACGTTCAAATAAGAAAGTGCAGTGAAAATGTTTCATTGTAATGTTTACTCTTAGTGACGTCAGTATAGCGGGTTGATTACAGGGACGACTGCTGACCAGGCGTCAGTACTAATTCAGTTGTTATAGGCTTGTTATAAGGTTTCATTTCAGAATTACATCGCCTACCCTAACTGTTTTACACTGGGAGAATATTAAATAGCAGCCCAATCCACTACGATTTTGCTGTTTACAAATACTTGAGGAACAGTTAACATTTTTTAAAAAGATAGCGGGCAATGCACTTGATATAATTATTTTTATTAGCTACAGTACGGTTGGAAACCTGTGATGTCATCCAAAATGTGGACTACTATAAACTTCGCAAGTTTTAAAACACGTTTAAAATCCATTTCTTACCATTTCCTCAAAATCTGGAATAGTGATCAGCTGCCCGAACAAGTTTATCAGCCACTGGGTACTCAAGATGACTGGGCTACGGTGCTTGATAATTACCCCCAGGTCATGATAGAAATTCACCATGGTGGTAAACTCTTTCTCATCATGGATGAAGCACTTCTCCTTGGCATGGGTCCGTAGCTTCTTTATACTCAGGTAATAAACTGGCTTGGATAGCAAAGCGTTGATGACTCTCTCAAAGTTCAGCCAGCTAGTTTACAAAACCAAAGAGAAAATTGATAGCTAGCTTTCAAGTATCCATGTCACAAATACACAGTATACCTGTACTGATTAAAGTACAGGGCCCAGTTGTGCGAAAGGTGGATAAATCTTTTCACTGGATAAGTATGTCCAAAATCCAGTGTAAAGTGCCATTAGGTTTACTGATATTTTCCAGCTTAATAGTGATTCATCGTTTGAACAACCGGGGCCAGAAGCATACACACGTTCCAAAACATGACTGCTGACATGTGAAAAGCCGTGAAGATTTTTTTATTAGTTAGTATTGATGGTCTTTCTAAACTTGAAATGAAATAAATATAAGCTTAAATAAGTTTAACTAATACAGCTGAGCATGTTCTTAAATGGTCACCCTGTGCAGTTATGCAGTTTACTACAGAGTGATTACTTTACCTTTTTAAAACGAGCATGAAATGTACAAAGTGCTTTTGGACCAATTCGAAATAAGATTATGAAACCCTTCGGGACATAATATTCCTTAAGGCCAGTCAAAACTACTTTTCATGGTTAACTTGTTTCAATCAACGAGGTAGCGTCACAGTCAATGAGTTACTAATGACACCTGAGACACATTACATATCAAAGAAAAATCTTCTAAGGAATGGCGGAAGAAAACGCCATACACATAAACAGTAATCTCAGTGCGTTCACAGCTCAACTTTTGACATGGAAATTATTTAAAATTTACTTTAATGGATTCTGTTCTTGTATAACCATTATTTACCTCACAGGTATCCTCTCCCCAATGTAAGGCTCCTGTCTTAGCACTTCCATGATTTTTCCTTGTAGAGCTTCGATCTCCTCAATGTTTTCGTCTTTCCCGAAAACCATTGTCTTGATCTTTCTTTGAGTTAATTTTGCAGTGTTGTCAATGCTAAAGATAGGCCGCACCACATGTCCTTCATAGTCCTTACCAGCAATTGCGTTCTGGATTTCTGTTTTCATTGTTGCAATGTCTTCAAATGGTTTGTCTGCATGGGTTCCTACAATGATTACTGGGGGGCGCAAATGATGAGGCACCTCTTCTTGTACAGAATCACAGGTTTCTCTTCTCATCTGTGCGACGCTATGCACTGTGGACAGCCAAGACAACAAGTTCTCAAGATTTGTTTCTCCATTTGGGTTTTCCAACTCAACATTACGAGACCCTTGCCTCACACAGGGCTTGGCTGTGTCATGCAGTGACTTGCTGAGGTTGCACACCAGGATGTACAGCGCACGTGATGATAAAAATACAGGATGGGATGCATAATACAGATGTTGTCCTGCAAAATCCCACAGTTCAATACTCACAACTGATTCTTCAGGCTTAACATCATCACCTTTCATATACTTTATCAAATTTACAGCTCGTTCCTTGACCTCTTCTGAAGGTGAAGTAGTATCAACCACTAACTCATGGTCAGGTCCTGTTAATGTGGGTTCACTAACACTGTCTTCGTTTGGATCACCAGCCTGTAGCAGAAAACGAAAAAAAATAACTGTTGATTCTGATTCTGAAAGACTTAACATGGCTGGTTCAATTTTTCGGGGTGAAGAGGAATGATGGAGTAAGAATAACGGAATTTTTTTGTTGTAAGAATGGAATAATACCATTTTGTGGCGCGGAATATTGGAATAAGCAGATGTTTTCAACGGAAAAGTGTTCCTTTTTTAACTGGAATAATGGAATAATAAACACCTAATTATTCCGGGTGTCTAGAAAACGACGACGTAGAAAACGATGACCTAGAAAACAACTACCTAGAAAACCAGTTTTGATAAATAATAGTCAAACAAAAAAAAATCGAAAAAAAAAAAAAAAAAAACGTGAGCACATGACCTTTATAGGGGGAAAGGGAGACACTTGAAGACAAGTTTGGTTAGAGGTGAACCGTGTAAGCTTGCAAACACTGTCCCTGTTCGCTCATTTCGATACTCTTTTTAAGACAAGAGACTTTATTTTGGTGCCAAGAAATGATTATAAGTACTTTTTAAACCAACATCATGGAATTAAATTCTTTTGGGAAAAAATCTTAAAAAATGTACTGTAGAGCACTCACGCCAACCTTCACGTTCTTAAAATTGTATCCCCTTGCAAAGTCTCTGGTCAAGACCCTAAAGAACCATACCCTGTGCGTTCAGTGGGACATACCCTTTTGAGCAAAATAACGGAGTGCTCCCGCAGGCGGTGCCGTTGCTTTGATTAGAAGTAATTGGGTTGTAACATGATACCCTGGATAATAATAACCAAAGGGAAATCGTTCGGATAATTTAAAAGCACGTTCAAAAAGGAAAAAGTTCATATATTTATCAGGGCACTTGGGGCTGAATTTTCTGCCGATCAATATGAAATGTAAAAAAATTAACTTCGCCGTTATTGTACACTAAAATTATCTTATCTTTTTCAAATGCAGACTTTCCGCTCTGGCTTTGCATGCAAAACATCTAAGCTACAATTCATACATTTCGTTACGCTAATGTTGCACTAAAAGGCAATTCCACTTGTCAACTGGAGCGTTTGCTAATGCTACAGACTATAGAATCAGAAAATTTCTAACTTCAATGACACAATATTAACCAAACTGTGTTTATAAAGCTTTAACTTGCTTTTCTAAGGCCTAGGCCAAACGTCGAACCTTTGATGAGGTGAACCAAATTCGAATATGAGTTCACCTATATCAAGTTTAGATAGTCTCTTACGTCAGACGCCGAACTGAGGACGTGTCGAACCAATCAACTGAATCAGATCAGTAAAAAATTTTCTCCCGAACAAGCTAAACGTGCAATATCATACAAATTTTATATTTATCAGTTTAGTTTGTCGGATAGGAAGATCGACGTTTCTCACGGAGACGATCTTCAGGTGTTTTATTCGTCCGAAGCAGTTTTATTCCTTGGCTTCATACCCTTAGTCGTTTTTTTACAAATAATATTTACTATTTTTCTGTAATTTTCCTTCTTCGCCCACCTCTCACCCCTTCATAATTCCCTCCTATCGTCCTCTTCTGTACCCCTCTACTCGGCCTCTTAATCCTTCGAGCTACCCCATCCCTGTCGTCGTCTTCTAGATCATCGTTTTCTAGGTCGTCGTGTTCTAGGTCATCGTTTTCTAGGTCGTCGTTTTCTAGGTCGTCGTGTTCTAGGTCATCGTTTTCTAGGTCGTCGTTTTCTAGGTCATCGTTTTCTAGGTCGTCGTGTTCTAGGTCATCGTTTTCTAGGTCGTCGTTTTTCAGGTCGTCGTTTTCTAAGTCATCGTTTTCTAGGTCGTCGTTTTCTAGTTCGTTTCTAGTAGTAATAACTACTGTTAGGACGTTCTTGAAGTAACGATGGATTCACGAAAAAACATCACATTTCAAAACCAACGAAGACAAACCTGGTTCACACGAGAAACTTCCTCCTTTTCTCCATCAGTATCAACCTGTTTCCTATTCTTGTTATCATCACTTTGAAGTATTGTTTCACCTTTTTCCTCTTCCCGAACCCAGGCACGGCTAACTGGAATATCATACATCTTTTGCACCACCATCTGTGCCACATCTCTCGAACATCCCAGCAATCCTTGTTTTCTCTCATCAACAGGTTGCCAATTCCTGACTTCATCAAGGTCCAACTGAAATTTTGAAGGATCCACTTCAATTCCATCAGTGCGTTTTTCTTTTGAATTAAATCGTAGACCAATGAGAGACTTCTTCAAACTTGTTTTTCCTGCCCGATCCGGCCCAATAAGCAATACTCGACCACGGAAAACATTAACAGCTCCATATTTAAGAGCACTTTGATAAGCGAGCTGTGCTTTTTCTCCGCGTGCTTCTATTTCTAAAGGATCTAGTGAAAAAAAGGATGCTTATTAAATGTAAGTAATGTCTTACAGGTTGCGTAGTTCATTGGCTTCTATTTTACTTGACGGACCTAGGAGGGTCATGGGGGGCTACATCAGTGTTTATTGTCCTTCTTGTAATCTTTCAGTACGGTCTCTTAAGTTATTAGAATAAATCTATGGTAAACACAATTGTACTGAATTTCAAATGTGACAGGTAAAATTAAATGTTGGTTATTTTTTATACTGTTAAACAATCTCCCCGTTTTTTAAACTTGTTGTTTTACTGCGCTTACTTCAAGTCGCCATGCATGTTAAAAAAACCATGAATGGTACGTAAAAATTAGTGTTGTCTTTTGCGTCACCAGAATTATAAGTGTGCATTCATGTGAAATACCTGTCCCTCTAAAAGAAACAATTATTCTGAACATCAACGAACTAACTTCGTTCCAATAACCGCCCACTCTCTAATAACCACCCCTATTGCATAAGCACCCTCGTTCCAACCCAGAAGGGGGGGGGGGTTACTTGGGTTAATTTTTGTGGGGTATGTGCCGCTGGCCTCTCAAAACCCCGATCTCATTATAGTCCATACTGTGGCGATATTATAGATCCCATCATAGTCACTTTTGGAAAAAAGCAATTTTCGCAATCCCAACTTAGTGACTTTCTGCTTATGCATCTACCTTCTACAGCCTTTCGGCTAGAACATCCTAATATGATCTGCCACATTTTTGTTAAACCTGGTGTGGTGTAAATCTTTCTATTTTTAAATCCCTACAAACCTGAATTTTATGACCCCCAAAATCCTCAAAATGTGCGACCCATTCTAGTAACTCTCATAAAAATGTAACCCCATAATAGTCAACACAGTCGTGAAAACGCGGCCCAATCAAGCAGCACATACCCATTAGCCTACTACTGGGAAGTACCCCCCACCCGAGCATTCCAAGCGCCCGAATACCAATAAGCGCCGCTATTCAATCACCGACTATTGGTCCACACTATCGTGACAAGGTTGACCCTAATTCACGCAACCCGAGTGAACGGCCGCGAACGCTCTCGATTGTTAAAATCAACAAAGGGCCTACGGCACCAAAGATAGTGCCAAAGTGTACGGTTTTGAATGCCCGGTGCCTGGAAAAACCTGACGCAGCTTCGACTCTTTATGCTGAGATTAATAACAATAACATTGATACCGTATTTCCTCGAATAATAACCGGCGGCGATCACTATTTTTTTTCCAACAAAAAGGAGTCGATTATTTAATGGGGCGATTATTTAAAATATTGCTCACTGGAGGTCGTGCCCAAAACATTTTGTTTTATTATTCCAATAAACCGAAAATAGATAACATCAAATAACCAGATCATGGGCTTTTTAAGTGTTCCAAATTTGGTTATTTGATTAATTTTCAATGTCAATATCCTCGGCACCCGAGTTTGAATTGCCACAGATCAGTTTTGCTGGATCAGGCTCCACTGCAACTTGACAGGGAGGTGATAAAAGCAAGAGAAGTCGGCGAGAGGGGTGGGGATGAGCGATTATTCGAGGCGATTATTTTAAACATTTCGGTCTAAGGGGGCGATTATTCGAGGGAGGCGATTAACCGAGGGACGGCTTTTATTCGGGGACTGTTTTGTTTCGGAGTCATGGTTGAGTATGATAATCCTGCCACATTCGAACTGCCCAGGGGACTATGTAATGGTGAGGAAAGATCGACCTGGCTCGCGAATCGGTTGTGGTGTTGCTATTATTTTATATTGTATTTTATTATTTTGTTATTTGATTGGAAAGTTAAAGCGTTGAATGTCACTGATAGCTTGGAATTTGAGTCTTTCGTTGCAGACCATGTCGGTTTGTAGACATGATGACCTCGTATAGCAGACGAGAATTCGCCTTCATGAACAAGCTGCGACCTCCAAATCAAGGGATTGCCAGAAGGAGCCATGATCGTAGACCTTTGCTAATTCTTGCTCATAAGGTGCCCTGCCCCTGTTTCATGGTTCGAGAGTTTTGCTTTGAGCAACCATAAGTATATAAGGGCTCTGGGCACTAAATCGAGTCATTACGCTAAATAATTTAAGTCTTTTGTTTAAATTATTCTGTAGTTTGTTTCCTCCTCTCCAAGCAGTATGCTTTGAAGTGGTGGGAAGGTTTGGTTGTCTTAGTGATCCTAAAGGCTACGTGCTGGGCAGGTTTCAGGTGAAAGGCAAGACACCTGGCTGTCCATGTGGTGGGGGATGGGTTAGACAATTCACTTACACTATGGCCGTGCATGCTGCAGGGAAAACAACAAAAACTTACTTGCAAAACAAACCTAAGTGAAGCTAAGTGTGACTTATAATTTTGTTAAATGGTATAGCAAATTTCAGACCAGTTATTGTTTAGATCACGAGAAGTACTTTCTCAGGCTTAAACACAGCAAACCAAGCCACCTTTTCTAATTTGAATCTTGAACAGCTCAAAACTCTTCATCCTTAATGGTCTGTTTATTGTTCTGTGACAATAATTTTTTATTTCATAAATATTGTGTTCAGCGGCCAATCTTCCATAATTATAACATGACAATATTACTTCATCCATTAAGTAAAAAATGGCTTTAAGACTCTGCGCGTGTTTTCACTGAGTTAATTTTAGCTAGATAAAGCCAGAAAAG